AAAGCGGATTTTATTTTGTTTCTATTTTATCTATGAAAAAGGAAGTTTTATTTAAATCCTCCCAAATCATTGAGGATGCACAATATTTTACTGACTTTACAAATTAAAATTCCACTCAAATAATTGTTTGATTTCTGTGAAAAGTACGTGGAAACCTGCCTAGTGATCTGGTGCTGGGTTCTATGAGCAACCTGTGAGAAAGTGGCATTTAGTTCTGAGACCCACGTTCTTGTTCTCTTGCAAATGCTGTTGTGGGGGCATACAGCTCCTCATAAGAACTGCAGGAGCTGCAGAGCAGCAACTTCAGGGTCCAGGGAGCGATGGGAGCCAGAGCCCCACAGTCACTGGGATCCCTGCACTGTGGGATGCCAGCCCTCGGGTGGTCTGTGCCACTCCCAGTCTGGTGGCTGGCACTGAGCTACCAGTGCACGGCTTGTGCTGAGCTCAGCATCCTGGCCAGCCTCCATCCCAGCTGGAAGGAGGGAATGAGGCGCCAGGTCGCCATGACTTTGGGGTCAGAGCTCACTCTGCTTCAGCAGGGTGTTTTAGTGAGAGCTGTGATGGCTTTTCACTCTTGGAGGCTGCTGGAGTCATGGGGAGTTTATTCAAAGTAGCTTGAAGTTTTCATACAAGTTCTGGGTAAGATTGGAGATAACAGCCAGTGTGAGGGAACAGTAGCATTTATGTGGACAAAGGGTTCCTTTGGATGAGAATTTGCCTTGTATCCCACCTAAGGATTTTGCATTATGCAGTTATGCTCAGCACCAGCATGCTTCAAAGTGTTTCCTTCCTAGCAGAATGAAGTCTAGAGTACCCAGCTTGTAATTGGGAGCCATAGTCCTACATTTGCTCAATCTCTACACGGGACTGGCCAGTGGTGCAGGATTTATTGCTTGTAAAGATGTGGTATGCACTTGCAGTCCTGGAAGTATATTGGATTGTAGTAAATTAAACCCAGGGCCTCCTTTGTTTGTGCTAGGCCACAGAAGGAATGAAGAAGGCCCAGGCACGCTCTGACAGGCGAGGTTGCCCAGAGTGATCAGATAGCCTTCTCAGTGTGTCTGAGCTTCAGATACGAAGACTAAATTTCAGCAGTAGGCCTTCGGTGTAGCTAATTGACTTTGTGAAATGCTTTGACAAATGAGTGAATAATACTTTGTGCTGCATGTACCATTTCTGTTTGGAATGCTGCTGACTGACTTAGTGAAATCACTTAGAAGATCTAATGTGAGCTGGGATGGAGGGGTTAAGTAGAATAGGAAGTTGATGTGGATATGAACAGCTTCAGTTATGAGCTCATGTCTAGACTCTGTGCGTGAATAGTCTCATGGCACTTCTTTCTGCCCTGGCCACTTTTCTCTCTGGTGCTTAAGCAGGAAGTAAGAAGTTAAAAAGGGCAGCAACACATTCTCAGTGCACTCAGATTCAAATTCTGCTAAGCTTGATGCCATTGCTTTCATCACAATTTGTTTCCTTCCAAACCGACAAGCTACTAATGAACCATGCTGTTCAAACAAACAACTGGGCCAGAGTGAGGAAGTGATGTTCTTTACTTGTAGGTTGGAAAATCCTATGCTGCAACTAGTCAAATCCAGAAAATAATTTGTTTGGCCTGTAGTGGCAAGAGAGGGGAGAGTGCTGTACCAAAGTTTTATCCTGCCTCTGGTAGCTATTTTATTCTTTGCATGAACTCCTCCTGTGGTTCTGAGAGGTCTTGAGCTGGGTCTTTAGAGTCTGACAGCGATAGAGTTGATTGACTTTCTCATAAATGAGGTGGAAGGAGCTTGCTCTATTAGAGGGTAAGCTGAAATTAAGGCATGCTTTGCCTGAGCGTACCATGAGGCTGAAGCACCTTGCTTCAAACAGGATACTCATGGTAAACAGTTTATAGAAACAGGGCTGGAGAAGGAAGGAATGAAGGTTGTGTAGTAAATGTTTTCTGCTTATCCCCCAAGCTGTGCCTGTTTTCATAGTTGTATGTGTTCTGCAGATGTATAATAGAACGTGTAACAAAAAAACGTAAGTGGTCCTAGTTGTTTTCTGTTTGAAGAACTGCTTATGATCAGTTAACTTGAATAAAAGCTGGTTTAATTGGCTGACTTTTATTTTTATATTACATGACTCTGAGATAGAAGTTAGAGCTCCAATAGAAGGGATTGAAATCTCTTAAATTATCATTTTACATTTTGCCTCCAAATCTGTAGTGTGGCTGTACATAAAAAACTGTTCGTTGCATCGTTATTTCACGGCAACTAGAAAAATTAGAGTTTTCCTTTGGCAAACTCTGCTAGCAGATGCATGATGTAAACTGATAAAACAATGTTCACTTTTCTAAAAACTTGTTTCTAAACTGCATCTTGTGAAGCAAGTGGTGGCAGGAAGCACTTGTGTGGGAAGTAGGATCTGTTGGATGTTACCAGGGTAGTGAGATCTTGGTCGCTTGTGCCAAGAATTTCCTTCTTTCATAACTCTTGGAAGAGGGATTTGGCATTTAGTGTTCTAAACAACTCACTATGATCTTTTTTTTTTTCCCTTCCTTCCCCATAGTAATATTTTTTTAAATGTTGTTATTCTCTTCCCTTCCTGTCTGAAATCATCTTGCTGTATTTGTTTTTGTATTCATTTTGTTTCACAGCCATTGTGTTTCAGTAAGAAAGGTGTTAATTCATAAATGAGTATGTAATGTTAAGAGAAGTAAAGAGCTATGCAATTCTCATGAAAAGTGCTACGAATGCAAGTTGTTATTGCATACTCAAGTATTAAAATGAAAACAGAAATACAGCGATTCTTGTTTGAATGTAGGCCACAGCAGGAAGGTGATGTTGAGTGGTGCAGAAAAATCAACAGTGATAAATAACAGAGAAGGGAGCTTTTCAGAATGAGAATTGACAAAATCTGTTTAGGGAACAAATGAGGCAAATGTCTATAGTGGCAGTTTACTCCTAGTTTTGCTGTGTGTGATTGTAGGCTAGATAAGGAAATGGATCAAGGTGAAGGTGAAAAGATTACAAGGCATGGAGGCTGCTGTCATTTAAGAGAGCAGATGATAAAGAAGAAAGGAGGAAGAGAGCCAAGAATTGAAGCTGAAGGAGGTGGATGGACTGTGGAACTGGCAAATGGTAGTACGTGAGCCTCATGCAGAAACAACTGGAAATGGGCAACTGTAAGATATCTAGTGACGCAGTTGTGACCACAAATTTGAAGAGTGAGAAGATTTCCATGTCTTCTGGGGCTTATTAGCATCTTAGGGAGAGGAGAAATTAAGAGGGAGAGGATGTGCTTTGATTGCCAGGATCCACCCCTTCCCACACCTCATTTAAGGGTTGGCAGTGGAGGTGAGGGCATCACTTGCCAGAGATCCCTGCCTACCTGAGGCCTTCCAAAGGTAAGCAGCTCTTTTCCTGCATCCATGGCTGCTGCATTTGGGCTCAGTTGTGTTTGCTGTAACCAAAGACTTTGCCACCCTACAATTATCATCCCATTATAGCATTACAAGTACAGAAAGAGAAAATGGTCCTCTGCTTAGTATTTTCTTTTTCTTAGTTGGTAAGTAATAGTATTTTACAATATGATAAAGAATACTGTATTGTATCTGGAAATAAGGTGTTTTTTTCAGCTTTATTATTAAATGTTTGTTTTATTCTCTAATCATTGCATTAATACATCTCCTAAAATGCTCTTTAGAAAATTTCTTATGAATGATGCTTGGAAGCATTTACATGATATTGAAGGCATTCCTGCAAGCATCATTTTACTCCAAAATGTTCTAACATTATTAATAATGTATAAGTGTAGCAAGTTTACATTAAAAGCAAGCCTTAGACTAGGTGATTTTTAATTGGTGCAACAATTCCTACATGGCAGTCAGTATTACAATAAGCCTGTAAAAATGGAGCAGGAAGAATATACATGTACTGGACTTTTGGAGGCTAGATAACCTTTTCATTACTGACACGAGCCTCTTCATTTTAGATTGCTTACTGTGGCATGGTGTTAAAAATTGGTTGCCTGTAATAAAGCTCAGACTTGATGTAAGATAAGTCAGAGGGGTAATGGATAGTAGATAGTGGATAATGGTAATAAAAAATTCTTACTTTACTCAAGATCATTTAAGGTAATAGTGCTCACTTGTTGTTACAGGTGGTGTAACTGTCTCTCTCTGGATCACCTTGGGGAACTTTTCCTGTATACAATGAGACTCCAAAGAGTACAAAGCAGTCATTTATTGCTTAGCAAACATAAAAGACAAGTAGGATGTAATGGGCTTCTAGGCTAGGCATTAGCATGCTTGTGATCCCCAGGAGGATAGCTGCAAAGTCTTTGCTGGCCAGGCAGAGCCTGGAGGAGAGCCGGTCTTCAGTGCTTCTAAGTTGCTGTCTTCCACCTGCTTACTTTTTCTTCCTATGAGATTTTATACCATTTATGTCAGTGTTTTTTCTTTTGAATCCTTTCTGGTAACAATCCAGTCTTTACAGCCCTACCTTCTTTTTTGCACTTGTACCTTTCTTATCGTGCATGGCTGTGCTGTGTATTTTCTCCAAGGTCTGTCTCATAGCTTGGCTCGTTTCCTTAGAAGTCTGAGGCAGGGTAATGAAGCTGTGCAGTATCAGTGCTAGACCTTGAATCACAGAAAGCTGAACCCTGGAGAGACAGATCACACAGCAGAAATGTTACATGCTGAGGTCAAATATTATCAAACATTAGATGAGGAACTTAAATGAAATTAATTATTCCTGAACTTCTGAGTGCCACAGTTCACTATTTGGGAACCTGATAGAGTTCTACTGTTGTCTTTAATTTATTCACTACAATTGATGTTGAATGTTTTGAAGCCATACTTGTGTTCTAGTTATTTCAGGTGTTAATCGTGTTCTAGAAATGCAGTCTAAACAGGTAGCAAACACTACTTCTTGCCTTAAATGCTCAATTTGCATCTCCTGCAGATCTTTTTTTAAATTTTCTGGATACACTACCTGCAATTGTCCTTTCTTTTGTTCTAGGTAATGGGCCCCATCATGATCGAAGTTGTGTTTACAACCAGAGCAACATAGTTGATGGAGTGTACTGCCTCCCGATAGCACACTGGATTGAAGTCTCTGGACATACTGATGAGATGAAACATACAACTGACTTCTATTTTAATATTGCAGGACATCAAGCTATCCACTACTCAAGGTAAAAGACAGATCTGAGACTTATCTAGTGTCAAATACTGAAACAGGGAATCAATGTGATGTTAGAAAACTTTGAATTAGAAGCAACGAGTGGCAGCAGTTCCTCAGAAAATCTGAACAAAGATTAAACACCTCTTTGCAATTAGGTATCGTGTTTTTGCAATAATGAGGAGAGATTCTGTACTCAAGAACACCTGCAGCCTGTGAGGAACTGTTAGTTGTGCCACATAAGAAAATGTTTATCTGAGTAATTTAGTGTTTGTAAATATGCATCTATATAATAAATGTGTGTGTTGGGAATTATTTTGCTGAAGTACATCATTTGGGAAAAAATATATAGGGTGTCATATTATTGCTTATGTGTGAAAGCAGTGGCAATTAGTAACAGCCTTTATAGGTATATATATGCATCTTAAACATAATGTATGTGATCTTTTTTTCTTAAAAAAAAAAAAAAAAGAGCTAAAATTTAAGGATGTCTTAGAATTTATGTTCTTAGTTGGAGTTCTGTAGGGTCCAACTGATTCCCTCAGCTTTTTGAGTCTAGAAGACTCATGTGAGCTTGGATTCCTCTAATCATAGCTTGTCTTTGAATTACTGGGTTCAAGAAGTGCTGCTAGAGCCACTGCTTTGTGAGGGAAAGCAGAATGAGAAGATACAAAGACCTCCAAAGCATGCACTGAAAAAGTCTGTCATGCCTCACTGCTGTCTCACCAGTGAAACCTGCTGGCCTAAATTAGGAGCCAGCAATACTTAAATTGAAGACAGTATGCACAGTATGCACCCTTTGGGGCTGCACATAAAGCAGAGGTTGTGTTTAGAGCAGCAGCCTTAATACTGGTGGCTGGCAGTATGCACCAAGGATTTGGGGATCATTTGTAATTTTGTCCCTGTCTCCAGTTCTGGATGTGGTAAGAGATTTTAATTAACAGTAGTTGCGTTGCTGGCAACATTGATATGGCACCTGTGCTGATGTTGGCTATAGAGAGGGTTAATGATCCTAAAGGGTTACCTATTGTTTGAAGAAGTCAAAGTCTGTACTTTCACTGAGTCTTGGCATTCCTTTGTGTGAATTTCTCTGGATTGCTCTTTTGGCTACTCTAGCTTTACTATCTTGTCTCCTCCCTATGCTGTTTTGTTTGAACTCTGATAGAATGGAGGAAGCAGAATTTTTTTCTCATATCACTTGCAGTAACAAGGGTATCTTTTGGAATATTATGGATTCATAAACACTGTTAAGCATATGCAGGTATGCATGTGACTTGGTACTGTTTTCTGGAGACTCCCTCGAGCTATGTAATACTCCTGACAGAGTGTTATCTGTATCTTAAGCATCCGTTTCCAGCATCCTGTCAGAGAAATGATCTTGTTTCCTCCAAAACAGAAACTTGTCAATCCCAAATAATCTTCACTTGGCAGAGAAAGTTTGTGAGAAAGAGGAACAGCTGTCAGAAGGAGAATACATAAGTACCAAAGGCTAACTTATCTTTCTTCCCAGAGGCAGCAGTGATCCATTTAATACTGCCTTATCTTCATGCATGCATGTTTCCAAAATGAGGTAAAAACCTGCAGGTTGCACTAAAGAATATTTTGAGTAAATTTTCTGTGCTAGGTAGTCATTTCCCAATGAGGATCTCCTCTGTTTGCCTCTCACATACACGTATCTCCATTGCAAGACAGTATTATATAGAGAGCTTCAGTAAGTAATTCTTATCTCATATCTTTAAGCTTTATTAAGTGAGCATATCCTGTAACAGCGCTGTTGCGTAACTATTAATACTTTGAAGATATGCAGCCTTAAATGACTTTTTAGTTATTAACAGCTGGGGACAGATTCACATGCCCAGTCGTTATAACAAAGCAGCCCAATGCTACTGGCTAGTTAATTTTTTTGTTTGTACAGTTAAAGTGACCTGATAAAAATTCATTTATTTTTTTTACAGTGGTTACTGTGGATGTTAGCATCAACAAAACAGGAAAAAAAAAAACAATACAAGCAAATGAAACCAAAGAACAAGCCTCTCCGTGTTTACAGCTGAAAGCTCGCTGTATGGTCTGATCTTAGTTCCATTTGAGATTATATTTTCTGATGTTATTAGGTACCAGTAGTACGGGGATCTTTAGGAGCATGAATTCTGAATAATTCCACTGGCTGTAAGATCTTTAGATAGCAGTGCTAGCTGGAAAGAAGTTTATTATCAGGGAAGGCTTTTGACGTGGTACTGATCTGTTACACTAAATAGGATTGCCATGTGCAAATCAGGTGGAGAGGAAAGTTTATCTCCATCAAAATGACCTTCTGCATGAGCTGCTTAAATGATTCTGCTTGTCATCTGTCTAATCACAATGATTAAAAGTAGTTGTTCTTAGCTTCACTACCACCTTGTTTCTTCAAAAAACATGTGCTTAAATTTTAAGTGAGACGTAGCAGTATGAGATGCTGTTGGAAGTCTTTCTGAATAATGCTGAGGCTGACAGCTTTGAGGAATCATATTTATCTTAATGATGCTTATGTACTCACTCATAAATGAGTGAACTTATACTTCAGTTTACATTTTGAGAACTCAATTTGTGTTGATCACTCAGGTTGGAGAGTATATGGTGCATTTTTTAAGAATAATAGGATGTGAATTTTTTTTAAAGTGTGAAATTGAGTTCACTCGCAGTTACAGAGTTGTGACTGATACCTATGTAGTGTTAGTCCACTTGTTTTGGATATGTAATGACATGCATTACTTAAATCTGATCCAGAAAAAATAATAGTACCTTTCTCCTTTGTCTTAAGTATTAATGCTATAAGGACAGAAGAGTTAATTTAGAACACAGTCATTTTCCAAATAAGAGTTATTGTCATCTTTTTTGAGGAGAAGATGGCTCCAGAAAATCTCTAAAAATGGGTCATTTCAGCACTGTTTCAATTCCATTTGTGAAAGATGGAACTTCCTAATTTGGAGGTGTTGTATGTCTTAATACTTATTTAAAAAAAAATAAAAACTGCAATTCTCAGAAGAATGCCTTTGTATGAGATTGGAGAAGGAGTGACACCTGGAACATCAAAATCCTTAAATAGTATGTTGGAGACAATGATGCCTGATGATAGAATTTGGTAATACGGGAAGGTGTATCATTGAGAAGAAAGGTTATCTGGTTACAGTTTTCTATTATTAGAATGATTTTATGTCCCTATTTTGTTATTTACTACCCTCCCACCTCTGAGAATTGCTACAAAAGTAAGGTTGGCAGTTATCATCAGAATACTGCTTTAATGCCTCAAAAAGGTAAACGAGAAGCATCAGGATTTTGCCCTGGATTATTCCTCATCCGCTTGCATATCTACACTGAGATTTTAGTATAAGTCAGGGGTGCACATTTTATGTAACTTTTCCAAATCATCCCTACTTATCACACTGTGCTTTATGTTGTAGAGGAGTCTAAGAGTGAAGAGAGTGAATCTTGTCAGACATAGCTAAACTAAAGCTTTATAGTTCTCTTGTGAAGATAATGTGTGTTTACTTGATTGACATGCTTCTTTAGTCTGGGCAGAAAACGATCTTGTTGGGTGCGTTTTGCCTGAGAATCGGTGGAGAGAAGGAAATAATATAACTTCATTTAACTAGTTGAGTTGCATTTACTGCTGTTTGAATGTTGCAAGAACTGATGAATTTAAAGATATTCTTAAAGACATCTGTGGTAGGTCTCAGTTTAAGGCTAAGTGACTTTGGATGTCTACGTAGAGCTGTTCAACTCACTGGTGACTAGGTGTCTACTTTGGAGTGAATCAAATAACTAAAATGGTCTCCAAACAACACTGATTCTGCCATAGTTTATAATGATACTTTAAACATCCAGTTAGTTGTGTCTTGTTGAAATTGAATATCTGGTGTCATTTGAGGTGGTCTGGAGTTTACTGTCAGTCCTCCAGCTGGTGCAATGCAGGAACATCATTTTTTATAGCTCTTTGGTCACATCTGTGAGTGCCACACAGATGTTCCAGTTGCTACTGGACATCTGGGATGTTAGGAAGGCTGAGCATGAACAATTCATTGAGCACTGCTATTGCAGAGGACACCTCAGGTCTAGGAACCTTCATCTTTCCCTAGCCTACATTAATGTATAACGTTCATCTCAGTTCAGTCCGAGGCCAGAATTACCTTTGAATTGTGCAACTGGAAAAACACAAAAGAGAGCGCTTTTACTTGCTTTTTAATTTGGGGAGAGTTTCTCTTCTGACTTAACTGTTTTTAATTCATTCGAAAAATGAAATACCTTTCTATATTGTGTCATTCTAACTAATTCTTTTATTACTGAATTATTAAAAAAAAAAAAAAGAAGAAGCTTTAAAGAGGAAGCTGTCATAAAAAAAACCTACAGTGCAGTGAACTATGCTACTGTAGTAGAAAGCTGCACTGATACTTTATGCCTACATTATAAACTAAGAGATGATGATGTCTACTGAGATTACAGCAATTAGCATTAAAAGCTGAGAGCTAGCTGTCCCCTGTGCCTGGAGAAGACTTGTGGCAACAATATTAGAGAAAAGAATAAGAAATAATGAGCTACAGATCAAAAGTTTTCCATTGTATTCTAGCAAAATAATCCTGATTAAAAATACTTAACATAATAGCAGTTTGTGCTTTGATTTCAGTACTGGAGGCTGTAATTGTGAAGTTATCTGGCCTTTTTGTACATTAAATAATTAAAATATTCTAAGCCACATTTTGTGACATGCATATCCCATAAATTAGGACATCTGACCACTTGTTTAAATTTGCTTTCATTATACCTGGCTATAAACTAGTCTGAATTAGATCCACAGTTTACTTACGAGTGAGAATAATCTTTTATAAAATGGTTTAAAAATAGTTTTGAGTTTTTGTCCCATGTACATCTTCAGGTTTTTCATTATCACCCTCATTATCGCCCTTACTAGTGTCTGGATGGGAAGAAAACATTTCAAATCAGTGTAAGAAGTGATTTTTTTTTTAGCAGTTTCCTTTTCAA